TATATATATTTATTTATTTATTTATATATGGGAGGGAGACTATTACCCATAGAGTCCAGTAAAGGTCTCTGCCTGTGCTAATAGAGCTAGGGTTACAATACTGTAACCTTTGATACTGAACTTAATATGATTTTTGAGCCCGGTCTCACTCCAAAATCGTCGAAATCTGGTGCTTGGGCAGTGACCTCTGGCATCAGAAACCAACGAAAAAAGTGCCCTTTAATGTTGGCATGATACACGTCCAGTTGCCGTTATAGTTTATCTGCGCCCGGCGGCATCAGGGGAAAACACGGCAGGACAAGGATGAAAGCGGGTGGGAGGGGTAGTGGATGGGTCCAAGAGACCGAGAGAGCGGTGTTCGCGCCCCGTAAGATTCTAAAGCCAAACCCTGTTCTTTTTTCCTAAACCTAACCACATAATTTTGTTGCCTAAACCCAACCATGTGTGTTTATTGTTGAAGGAAAAAAAGTTTGTAGACTGTATGTTAATGTTAAATTTCCTGTGAAAACGGAAGTGTATTTTGAAAGAAGACAATGCATGTAACAGGCAGAACCTGACACAGTGTCCCAGAACGTCAACAACCAACACACCCAGGGTTCCTTGCACGTCGTATGTGGACGTGGAAAGTCCATGACCAAAACGTCAATATGTGACGAGGTCGGAGTGAGAATGTGCTGGATTTTATACCTTCGGTATAACTCTTGTTTGTGGAATCTCATCTTTTTTTTATTTTTATCGCCATGATTCAATTTGTTGTCCAAACTGTTTTCACGCTTTAACAGTTGTGTTCAGTCAAACGACTGCCTTTAACCTTTATTGGGAGTGTGTTAACCTTGCAGCATACTAGTGTTATTATACGCATAGTTGAGAGCAGAGGAGTGACAACACACACATGCAGATGCCCACAAGCGCCAGCACCACAGTGCCTGCTGTTTATGTTTCCTACTGGAAAGTAAACATCTGGAGCACGAAAGCCATTTTAGACCTGATTACAGCAGTGGAGAGGTGCTCTAACTGAGTCTCCAGTGACTATACACACGCACACAAACCCACGCTGACACACACACTCAAACAAACACAGTGTAAGTGGGCTAGATCCCGATGGATATTAGATTTGGGTTTTCTACATTCTCTCCATGCTTCTCCCAAATTCTGTATTTTACAGCCGTTTTGTCTTTCTTAACAGCACTATTATGTTTTTATATCTGCATCTTAATGGATAGTTTAAAGTAGAGAATGGCAACCAATATAAGAGGTAACAGGAAGGCACTGGACACATCTTTTACTTTTAACAAAATATGCTACAAAACTAAACACTACACCAGATTTCTAATTGATCATGACTGATTTCTTCACAATCCTCTTGTCTTGTTTAACCCCAATTATCATAATCTAGCAACAGATGCACTGAGGTTATGATTTTTTATATTTTGGCCACTGGAAAAAGAGAAAAATGGTTGTTAAGTGGGGAATAATTACAGAGAGACAAAGAGAGATGTCAGCCAAGTGTTAGTGTTAATGAAATAGGGATGAATGAGAAATAAAAATGAGAGAGACAGATGAATATGTGTCTGCTGGTGGAGGGTGGAGGTTATCTTGGTGCAAACTGCGGACACTGTGCCTTTCACAAAACCAGATCAGCCATCTAGACTCCGTTGTGTTTCTCACAGGCAGAGGAACACACAGCTGAGTTTTGTTGACTGATTGGTTTCCCTGCAAAAAATCTCTTTAGCCAGGTAAACAAACAAGCAGGCTACTTTAAATAATTCAGCAACAGCATTTTGCGAGGAATATAGATGAGACAGAAGCAGAGAGGAACCAATGCAGTCTAGCTGTGGTGTTAAAAGAGGGCCTGGTTAACAAGTGAGCTCATAAGGGTTTTTCTTTGTACCAGGCATGCTCAAGGGACTTTCTTCTGAAGTCTTCCAACAGTCAGTAAACACGGATGAAACAGTCCATTTAAGATACACATACTCAACCTTTGGAGTCTACTAACCTAGAAAACCTTCATGCTGCAAAAATCCCCTTCGATATAACAGCAGAACATTGTAATCCAGAGAAATTTCTGCCACTGGGGTTAACAAAGTTTACAAAGGATTTCTTGAAACTTCAATAAAAACCTAATCTTAACGATAGTAAGAAAAACAGCAAGGAGTTAATATTTTCCTGCTTATTTCCGTCTATTTAAACTTGACTTTATTGGTATATTTGAGCCACTTTGGAGCAGCGCAAAAAGCTATCAACACAACACTGACAACAAATAGCTTAACGCGTTGATATGGTAAACATCTTAGCAAATAGTTGCTTACACTCTTAGAAATAAGGGTTCCTCCTGCAGTGCAGAAGTGCTACCCAGAAAAATTCACTTCTTAGGAACCATTTTTAAAAAAGAGGGGTTTTCAAGGGTTCTTTGCAAGACAAAAGATCTCATAAAAAACCCTTTTCACCCAAAGAATCCTTTTTTGAAGAAAGGGTTCTTCGTGAGATGCAGGGTTCCATAACCATGGTTGTTGTGCGTTAAACTGGACCACATCAACCCTGGCCCTTTAGGATCCTCATGAGGCCCAAGACTGCTGGACATGGTTCCCATGGCCCCTGGCTAACCTGTTAAACTAAAACCATAATAAGTGGAATATGAAAGTGTTCTCATTAGAACCCCCCGGGTGGGTTTTTGTTTGCACCCTTAGGGGCCGTACACATGCCACATTTTTTGTGCCCTTAAATTCATTGTTTTCAGTGTAGACATGCAGTCTGTGGTGAATATGGAAAAGTTGATTAATTTGGTGCAGGGCTGCCAGAGCTTTTCATCTGTCCCACAGACGATAGTCCCACACACTTATAAACAACGCCTGGAAGAAGATCAGCTCTGCACTCAGAATTTCAGACAAATAGGCTATGATACAGTGCTTGTTAAGGTTGCTTGGCAACCTCAGATGCAACCTGCTGCCGCGCTCTTGGAAGCTGGCTCAAAAAAGGCACAAAACTAGTGCCCAGCACCCGACCTTGCACTTTCCAGGTGGTTAAAGACGCAGCATGTGTACGGCCCCTTAGATGGTGGAAATGTTTTGGATAGAACTCCCAGAAAGGAACCATTATACCATAGAGGGGGTTCTGGGTGAATCTTTCCCAGATGGTTCTACATATAACTGTATCAAATGGCATACAGATGGCAACCATTTACATGTAACCCCTTATGTTGGGTTCCAGGCAGAATCCTCCAATGCCCCTTTTCCAAATGACCTCTGGTTCTTGAACTGGTTCCGTTCAAGACTCTTGAAAGCTTGGTACTATCTAGCAAACCAGTCCATGTGTTCCCCCAGTGTTGAGCGGAACCATTGTAATCAAGGATGTGTCATCAACAGAGGGCACTGCGCAATGCACAGTGGAAGTAAACAGTAGGAGCAAGATGGTAGATCACAGTGATTACCTGCAAACTTTTGTTCTGTTATTTCAGATATTTCTTTCATCCAAAAGAAGACCAACTATCAATGAGACCACTGCATGGTCTTTTTTCCCATTGTTTCCCACTTAACGTCTCTATTGCCTTCTTCATCTTCTCTTTTCCACCTGTAGATATGACATGTCCACTGATGTCATCACAGTTCGCACTTTACGTTAAGAAAAAAACATGCTATTTTTTTGGTTCTAGCTGAGAACCAACTTTTCCGAAGTTACGAACCAATCTATATTTGGTCGAAATTCTCTTAACGGTTCAAAATTATGTGTGGGAACCGGAACGAACCCATTCCATGTTGGTGGGAAAGGGGCATAACTGGGCTCCATGTGGAACCTTTATAAAAGACTCTACCAGGAACTAAAAAGTGTTCTTCTATAGTAGCAAGCCAAAGAACCCTATATGGTTCTAGTTGTCACTTTTATTTCTACAAGTGTATTTACAATTTCATCAGACACTGAGCAACATTAGCATTATTTACTATTGTTTATTTATTTGGAGTCCATCTGGATGAATGTAAGTCCAATATTCACTCTCCTTTTAGCTCTGTTTTGGTCCTCACCGACCCCCGAGGGAAATATCTGGCTCTTAAGCTGTGAAATGCTCCACTATGTTTCCCAGCTGGCTGTTAACTTTGCTGTCTGCTGTTTGGTGCTGGGAACAATCTTGATGAAGATTTCTGGGCTGTAAAACCCAAACAGTGAGCTATATGACGCCAAAACACGTCTAACAGCTGAGGAACTGCAGAGTCGAATAAATAAATAAACAATCTATTTTTCTCTCAATAGATGTCTGGAATATGATATATATCTTTTTTTAAGTCTTATTAAAAAAATCAACAACATTCATCTAAAAACAGGTGTAATAATCTAAAGCAAAATGGTGCGTCCAAAAAATATGATTTTATCATCATGGCCACCATAAAAAAAGTTAGGAAATGAAATTGACCAGTGAGAAACAAAAAATAAAAATAAATGGGAGAGGATGGATGAAAATCAGCGAAAGAGCGAGATATAGGCTGGTCAGCCTTTTCTTGCAGGGTGAAAGAGAGCCGCCGTCCTCTCAGGAATATATCATTAGATACTGCAGCTCTTAATCATTCTGTATCTCTCTAATTAACTGCTGACTCTGTCTCCAAGTTTCATGGCGCAAAAAAGGGAAACCGCCCATGGCAGCACCCAGAAAACCATGATCCCATACCTATATAATCCTAACACCATGCTCTTTGGATCTCCTAGCTCACTTCTTAAGATGTTTATTTATTTATGAGTGGCAATAAACTAAAGAGTACACACTCAACCTTGGAAAATCACTTGTCACAGTCATCTTTTCTGTCCTTCAGTCTCTAAATAAAGCTATTAAATATTATGCATACAACAGCACAATTAGGTCTCTGATGTTTTAGAACACAACAGGACAGTTAACACTTCTCATAGGATCATCAAAGAAACCTGTCGAAGCACTTTTAAAGTGTACTGCACTAAGCTGTGGCCCATTAATGTATCGTTCTGCCCATCTACCTTTCCTTTCTGAGGCTTTCAGACAGTTACCACGGTAGCCTGCCTCCCATCGCCCCATTATCCCAACCACCCACTCACACATACATATAAAGTCCTCACACAAACACACACCACCCCACACAAGGCTCTAATGAAATGAATCCCTCTGTATCAGCAGTGCACTGGCTGTTTGGCACAATGAACCGCAATGAATAATTCAGCCAGGAGAGGAGATGGCAAAGAGAGGAGAGGAGAGGAGGGAAGGTGGAGCTGAGATGAGAGGCGGCCGAAAAACACTGGGGGGAACGACAGGACAGGAGAGTGGGAGTTTGCCAAGATGTGAGCAGCAGAGGAGGGGAGACACAACGATCAAACTTGCTGAGTCAATAGTGAGAGAGGAGCTGTGTGTGTTTCTGACAATACAGAGGCCCCTTTGTGCTGCCCTGTGCAGATGCCTGTGCACAAACACACTGAGATGACCGAGCCGTGCCAGACTCTGCTGCCTCCCTCTTTCTTCCCTCCAACCACACTGCTCTGTTTCTCTTCTAAAGCTGTTAGAGACTCACTTTACTTTGTAGTCAACAACTGAAACAACATTCAGTTAATCAAAGGAATCACAACAGGGATGTGCAAAATGCAACTATTCCAATATCTGAGTCAATAGCGACAATTGTTCATCATAATTATAATTCTTCGTTTCTGTAATCTCTTGTTAGGGATCTTCAAAAGTAAGAGTCACGAGTGTTAAAATATCCAGTGTAAAGGGTGACCAAGAAAAGTGTTAAAACATTCATGCTGCTGTTTTGTGTTACTTCATAAACTGCTCAAAATTCTATAATACCACCTGTAACATGAGGGCTTTTACTGTAGGCACCTTTAGAGTCTGAAATAACAACCATTTTTTTTGATGGGTCCAATACAGTTTTTATGTCAGACCATATCACTGCTATGGCATTTCAGATGCTATGAATGCCTGCTACACTACAATGTAAATGAAACTAAAATTACCACCTTGTGGTTGTATGCCTCCATGAACCAGTCAATCTGCAGTTACAGTTTACATCCATGTCTGGCCCAGACTCATATGTAGCCATGACAAGCCTTCAAATATGGATGTTGCTGCAAAGAGGCTACATATTCTAAAACATGGATGCTTCACAAACATTTTCAACCCTGCAGTACACAAGATTAATACAATTAGCAGTTTCAAAGTGGACACCCAAGATTAGTGTCAATAATTCAGTATCTGACCGAGTGACTCCCCTTGAAAGTTGAATAATGACCAGAAAAGTGTTTTTGCAGAACATAATGATATCACAGAAACATTGGCCAATGTCATCACTTCATTAATTCATCCTATTAGACATTTGTGTGAAATGTTGTCATACTTAGTATAAGAATTCTTGAGCTATGGCCAAAAACCTTGACCTTTGACCACCAAAATTCAGTCAGTTCATAATTCAGCCCAAGTGGACGTTTTTGCCAAATTTGTGGGAATTCTCTAAAGGTCTTCTTGAGATATCACGTTCATGAGAATGAGACAGATACGAGGTCACAGTGACTTTTGACCACCAAATCTTAACAGTTCATTCTCGAGTCCAAGTGGACGTTTGTGCCAAATTTGAGGCAATTCCATCAAGGCTTTCTTGAGATATTCAGTTCACAAGAATGTGACAGACGGACGGACAACCCGATGACATAACGCCTGCGTCCACTGCCAAAAAAACAGATCTAACCAAAGACCAGTCACCACCCTACATCATCCATCATCACTGCTCTCATGTTGGGAAATGCAAAGTTGTCCATTGCTCTAGCAAAAATAAACCTCAGAAGAAGAGGAGTAGGAGTGTACTCGGTTGCCAATTATGCAGCGTGACTTTAGGATAAATATGTTTTTCAGCAGTAGGATTGTGCTAGCCCACCAGTGTATTCTGGTTGTTTCATGTGGTATTTTGATTGTATGGTTTGTAGGTTGTAGCAGCTGTCACACTGTGAGATTGGGGTCTTCAGTGTCAGGATTTTGAGGTGGGCTGTGCTCGGTCACGGAAGATCCATGTTGGCTGTCTGTGTAAGCATCTCACAGTGCAATCTAAAATCACCCTGTCCAACTGACAACCAAAGACTGTACATTTTTCTTACAATTGTTAATGGGACACAATCTGAGAGTAAAGAGGCCTTAAATCTCTCAAGAATTTTTCTTATCAACACACAGTATCTTTGATATAATGATGATCCAACCAACCAATATCATCTACTTGACAAAATCTGCAAAGTATGGCAAACTTTGAGTGTAACAGCTGTCAGTATTTAGCTGTAGTACAACACACGTGGAGTTAAGAGTGTGTGCTTAGCAATAATACAGTACATTATGTGTGTGAATGCAGCAGTAACTTACGTGGCAACCTGATGCATGACCTTGGTGGAGGTGTCTTTCAGCGTGTCCTTTAAGTTGTCCTTGAAGTTGCTGAAGAACTTCCCGGCTCCTCCCTTCACCATATCCAACAACCCTCCGCCATAATTGGCATCCATATCTGGGGACAGAGAACCATTAGCCAGTCAGAATCCAGAGGGAAACAAAATACACACAGACACATACACACACTGAGGATGCCAACAGAAAGACACACTTGCATTTAAATGCACAAATGTGACTGTTGGATGAAACCCTGCTATCTTCCTTTTTCAACAGAAGAGTAACGGCTGTTTTCAGTACAAATGATGTCTCTTCAGAATTTACACAATACCTATTGTGTTATTAAAACAGGATCCTTCAATTACTAACTGGAGTGTAGAGATTTTCATTTAACTTCAGAACTGAACATATGAGTCACTGCACAACACGCCAAGTAAGGTAGGTGTAAAAGAATGATGGACAAGGACACAAGAGACAAGACACACAAGAAAATGCATACCATCTGGAGCTCTGTGTGCATGTGTGTGCGTGTGTGTGTGTGTGTGTGTGATTATAATGTAGAAAGTAAGCAAGTGTTGGAGCAGACCCCAGTGTCATATCTTAGTCAGCACCCCTCTGGTGATATGAGATTTTCTCTCTCCCTCTCCCCATCTTATGTCCACACAGACAAACCACAGCGGCTTCACTTGAGATAAGAGTAACTTGGCAGTGCTGACAAATCTACAGACATTAAACACGAGGTATGATTAAGGTTGGGCTTGGACCGTTTAGTTGCAAACAGCTGTTTGCTCAGATGGAGTTTGGGTTTCGTAATTTTCGAACATAACTACGAAGTCTGTCTGTGTCTGTTACTGTGAAAGTAGCATATTTAAAGCCAAATCGGAAATAATAAAGAGACAAGCATAGAGAGCGTAGTCTATGTGTTGTATTAACCTGGAAAGCTAAAACCAAATGATCAATTCAATGTGTTAAACCTTCACAATAGCACCACTGAAACACTAGAGAAATGTATCATACCGGATCCAGCTGTATCGTGCTTAAATTGTATTTGTCACAGTAACAGTGTTTACATTCTTTAATTCATTTTGTGATATAAAGTACAAACGGTGCGCTCCACAATTTTTCAATACTGAACATAAAATTGTTTCATGCTGCTGGCGTACTTGCCTTCTTTCGTAAACATTCACAGTGAACAAGTGGAGATGGCTTTGCTAATTGCGGAACAGGAGCCTTTTTTCCAACTTGATTCACGTTGTATTCACAATCAACAATCTCTACTGGCATCAGAAGCTTTCAGTACAATACACAACCGGCCCATATCTCCGAGGCATACCCTGCAGCGTGGCTTACAGTAACTGTTTGTAGGCATAAAGCTTACATGCAGGAACGGAGGAAACTAAGCAAAATCTTGTTTAAAGGGAGCTTTTTAAAATCCCGAAATATCCAGAGGAATCATTGTCAAAACAATGATGACAATGACAAATGCCCGTACAACCTATGATTAGGGATTGAGCTTCTACATCTGGATATATTACAATTTAGCCCCTTTGACACTGCCTCTTTAAAGCGGGAATTTCACTCCATTTTGCCACCTCGCCCTTCTGTATAAAGGTTACGATCACAGAATGGGGGGAGTTGTCTCGCCTTTCAGCCAATATTGGTGGTAGTAACAGTGCTGAAACGATGTCTGTGTAAAAGGGACAACCAGTAGGATGGGATCATGGGCAGCACTGGTTTAACGTTTCAACAACATGTTATGTGTACGACCCACTGCCAGGGGATTTTGAATGTAGCTGATAGCAGTTAGCAGCTAACTCAAAGAAGAAGAAAAGCAGTCAAAAATGTCTGTTTATTGGGAAAACGGTAGGTCCGGGAGCTATTTATTCCTACGAGCAAATGGCAGGATCAGCTGCCATATAACATGGGACAGTAAATTATTGCTATTGCCATGTTAATGCCATTGTTATTGTTTATAAAGTGCTGCTGACGCATATTTTACATGTCCTACTAGAGGACGACTCTGTTGTGTTATATGCCCTGGCCCTCGCACCTCTTTTGCTTACAGGATACCAGCATACCATCTAAAACCACACACTTCAGTGGCATGATGCTGCCATTGTTTGTTTCTGTGTAAAAATACAAAGGAAGCATAAAGAAGGGACTTCGTAGCGACCCTGTAGTGCAATCTCTGTGAAAAGGGCTTTTGATGTGTCACATTTAGCTGGGAAAGAAATTCTGTGTACCAGCCATGATCATCCAACCAGTACTGGGAAGAGTAGAGCATGATATCGAGGTGAGGCAGATGGTTCATTATGATGAGACAGTATAGCATCATTAGCTGGTAGTTGGCTGCAATTTTTGTGATGTTATTGCCACTAAAAAACACAGCCTAAGAGGAATAGCTAATTGGCTATTACAGGCCATTTTGCTTTAGGCTGGTAGGTCGCTGTGCATTATTCTGTGTAGACCTGTTACGTCAACTTCCACATTAGCTCTTCTTCATATGTGAGAAAGTCATTCTGTGTGTGCAAAGCAATCATATCTCTCTTTTATGAAGAAATAAGAAAATTCTAATGTTGGGCTCAGCTAAGGTCTTACAGTGTGGGTGTGTGAGTTCAGGCTGGTTCACATCCATGTCATGCTTAATATCTCCTCACACACAGTGCTGCTGTTATGACATTTTCAAGTTATTCACCTATGAAAATCCTCTAAGATAGATAACATTTGTGCAATGGAGAGCACACGTTTGATTGATTTATACAACAGACTTTCACACTTACTCATAACGATATTCCAAACACTGTCCCTGGGGAAATCTGCTGGCTGCTACTGGACAAAGTTTCCTGATTAACTTGAAACTCTTCTTTCACTACTTGTCTACTTCTGCTCCCTCCACTCGTCCCTCTTTCCCTGTCTGGTTCACTCCATAACATCCTCAAACTTAGACTTTTCATCTCTGAGTGAACAGGCCTGAAATGTGTGACAGGGATTTAATTTTCCTGAAGAATAAAGCTCCCGCGTGTTGAACTCACACAGGATATGATCCTCAGACATTTCTGAAACTCAATTGGAACATTGCCTGTGGCAATCAAGATTACCGCTGTTAACTGAACGGCCACTCACAAAGTGACTGAAGTGTAGTAATGGCTGCATTAAGAAAGGCTTAATACAGTGCCTCAAAACAAATATATATGTCACTGGGGTTATCTCAGACTGTGCGTACAAAAAACCCAGGTCATAAACTTGGCATGTGGAGCTTGAAAGATATGGGCATTTGCCAGACAGAGAAGATCTAACATGAGCTATTGTGCTGTGGGAATTGTAGGATCCACTGTTTTAGAGCTTGACCCATACTATAGTCTGAAAGTCAAAATATCTCGGACTAAGCCTAAAAAAAAGTGCAATCCTAATTCAGTGAAGTGCCACTTTCACTTATTTTCATTTCCAAGATAGACTATTTATAGATTTATATCTGAAAGGGCCCCGAAGACTACACTTGATAACACTGAACAACTGGCCGGGTGTTCTTGTAACAAAACAAACATGGACTGCAACTGGCAGCTTGCACTGTTTATAATATGTACTGCAATTTGTGCTGAAAACACTAAAAAAGGAGGAAAAAATGCACAGGGTTTGGGTGAGATCCTCCATGTCAGTTGTCAAGTGCACTTCCACACCACAAACATTGTTGCTTGTCATTCTTGCCATTCTTCTTGGGTTTTTTTTACTTATTCATCAACTTGTAACAACAAGATCTGAATGCTTGAGATTGTATCAGACATTACATTATTTCATCTACTGACTGTTCGTCCCAACTGACCCAGACTCTAACAGTTGTATTGTGTGTCACTGCCTTTAACCAAAGGTTATAAAATTTCTTTAGCTGAATGAATGCCTGAAAACGACTAAAATTGGAGTTATGGGGTGTTTGCTTGAAAACAAAATGTGAAAGCAAGATATTAAAAGACCAAAATATAATTTAAGCCTGGTACTGCACCACTGACATTATCACATCTGTGCCTTTAAATCCTGAAACCTTAAGCTGACAACAGGTCTTGTTTTTTTACATCCCGTTAAACTGTGTTGCACGAATGCACTGTCCTCGGCCTTCTGAGGTGAAATTTTTGTGTGTGCTTCGGGCATTTCATTTGATTTATCCGTACAGCAGAGAGTGTCAACACTTGGTAAGGGAAAAGAAAAGGAAGGGAAGAAAACATTCAGCAAAGGTTGAGCTCCCCAGTAACAGCCATGGTCTTTGTTTTCTAATACCTAACATACAGAATAACCCTGTTAACTCTTCTCTAACTTCCAAATCATTTAATTTGTTGATTGCATCCTGAGCTAATGCCATACAATCACCATTTAACCTTCATTTGAAGAGGGTTTAATTAGTAGATCAATATCACTCTCATGTCTGAACACTAATATGAAGCTACAGCTAGCACCTGGTTAGCCTAGCTTTGCATAAAGACAGGAGGAAACAGCAAGTCCAAAAGTGGCAATATCCACTTACCAGCACCCCTCAAGCTCACTACTTAACATGTTATCTTGTTGTCTAATCCATACAAAATTTAGTTTGCGGGTGGATTTTGTTGCCTTTGGGCAGAGCTAGGCTAACTGTTTCCGTCTTAATTCTAAGCTAAGCTAACCAGCTGCTGGCTGTAGCTTCATGTTTACCGTGCAGACATATTCCTCATATCTAACTCTCAACAAAGCAAGCTTATTTCCCAAAATTCCCAAACTATTCCTTTAATATGGCTGCCATATTGGGCGTAAATATACTCAGGAATAAAAACTGTTCCCTTTGCATTCTTGGGGCAGCACTGTAAACTCACCTGTAGGTTTGGTCTATTTTTAACCTCCTTACTATGCGAATTTCCCAGCCAGCAAGCATGCCAGGGTGTATTAGGAAAACCTGGATCCTGCCCTGCCTTGAAATAAAGAGCTATTTGATATCAACCTGGATCTGCCAATCATGTTCAAACACCTGCACAGGTAACGAGGCATCTGCTATGATGAAGGAAAGAATGTGCTTCAAATAAATCTCGCCACAGAGAAAGTTGTTCCACAAAACAATAGGACCAGACCAATAGCTCATCCCTCCTCCCGCCTCAACCG